ACATCAATTGTGTAAAGCACATTTGTACATTCATTGCCCTCATCGTTCTCATAACATTTGCTCTCCACGTAAACCCCGGCATCAGCTCAATTTCCCCCTCCTCCCAGCTCCCCATTTATCAATACCTTACCACACTTGCATAATCTAAGGGCACATGTTTATAAAACCAGATTTATTGCTGTTGAATAGACTCAGAGTTCCTGTAAGGGCCCTTTATGTTTAAATGGATACAGTCCCATTTCAGGAATTCCATTTCCTTTTAATTTCCCTATAAGAACTATTCTAATCTAACTTCTGAGACAGTCAAGACGATTTTGATTATATCCCTCAGCCAAGTACTCTTTGTCAGACACGAAAGTAACTCAAAGGGCAATGGGCCTTTTATTCTGTTAGATCCATCTTTTTATGACAAGCAACTTGGTAATGCTTTGCTATGCTGAGGTAACACTCAGGTAGGAAATTAACACACAAACAAAGCATAAAGAACCCTAAGCAGCTGCTGCGGGTGAATTCTGACCACGCTATGTCTGAGTACAACTGGCCACCTAACAGTTTCCCCAACAACTCTACTGGCATATAATTCATGCACCATGCCATTCAGTGGTTTAAATATACTTTTAAAAGTTGTCCAATAACCACAATTAATTTTAGAACATTTTCTGCATGTGCACACCCACGATTATTAGCTCCCTATAACCCCAATCTTTTCACGGTGTTTTCAATGGCGTAGTTCTGGTAATCTTTGGGTAGACTTGAACCTTCAACCTTCTGGTTAACAGCCATGTCCCTCAATCCTGTGCCTCACCCTTAATACACTGAACAGCAGTAGGTGTGGCTATGGTTTTTATTATAATTGTCGCAACTGGATCCCACTCATGTTACCATGGAGTTATTGGCAAACTTCTTAAATTCACAGTCTGACACTACTAGACACTGTTTTAAGGCAAAAGCAGCCATAGATAACACATAAATGAATGGAGAGGCTGTGATCCAATAAAAAACACAGCTTACAAAAACAAAGGACCACACTTGCAGGTTCTGATAATAAAGTACTGCCACCAACCTCTGTTTGCAGTAGGGTTATTGACCACATCTTTACTGGGTGACTACTCCATTCACTGTAGATGGCTCTGAATCCCCAATCCTCTCAACTCCAGCCCTCGGCACCCAATAACTTCCCACGTGCTGAGGGCCAAACACCCTACCTCTCCCGAGGCCGCCGTTCCAGTTTGGGCTCGTCCAGCTGACGCTGCAACTTCTCCTGCTCCTTCTGCAGCCGCTCCTCCACTTCGCGCTCTCGAGCAGCCGTGTCCACAGGCTTCGCTCCTCCAAAGATAGAAGCTGCTCGACTGGACTGGGAGGTGCTAGCAGAGGAATCATCTTCCTTAGGAGCACTCCGAGGCTTTAGATTCAGTTTGGGTCTTTGGGGGGGACCTAAGTTAAATGAAACTCTAAGTAATAGTTTTCCAAGTCACCAGAAACTCATGGCCAAAAGCCAGATTCCCAAATGTGGCTAATGATATGCTATCTGGAAGCAGGTTTGTGGCCTAGCCAAATTGAGCAGAGGATAAAACGGGAGGCTCGTAGACAAGGGTAATGAAGGTCAGTGAAAAAGCCTTCAAACAGATGGACTGACCCAGGGGCTGCAACAAGGAGCCCCCCCACTCCCCCAGGCCCGGTTGTGAGGATGTGGAGAATCTAGCATGGCTGCTATGTGTCAAAAACAAGTCAAGGCAGCCAACGCCACAAAAGGTTCTTTCCTCTAGCACATCGATGACAACGACTGAAGTCACGCAACTACCTTTGACCGGAACTACAGGGCAAAAGCACCTTGCAAAAAAGAAAATAAAACCTGGTGTGGAAGATGGGTACCCTCCAGTAGCTTAACACGAGCTAGTAATGACATGACAGGGAACACCCATACGAGTCGCTAATATCTGAATCAAGGCAAATCCCAAGTGAGTAGTTCTAAGGGCACCTGCTTTCATTCGTCGTCCAAGTTGTCCGAAAGCCTCAAGATAAACACGAGGTTTGAGGAAATTCAATTTTTTACTGTCATAAACATCCCAGACATTGAAAATCGGTTGAAAACACGATTAATATTCCCACATGCACTTTGATGAGTTGTCCTCTCATAACCACTATATGGAGTTGGGTATCATCAATCCCATGACAAGTCTTTACTGATCACTACATAACTATGGATTTGCATTCAAAGAATATATTTTCTAGAACCAAGGTTTACATTTTCTCAAGGGTTTCAAGCTAGCAGTTTGTGTACAGCTTCAAAGAGACCCTTTAAACGGTCTGACTCTGCACAGTAGCCATGACCTCCACTTTCACGGGATAAAGCACTCCAGTAATCCCTATTACCAACGTGCCTAAGGACCCTCTCCACAGACATGTTTTCCTTTGGGACGTCCTTTCATTTATCCACTTAATGTAAACAATTCACACGAGGGAGAGCAGAAGCACTAAACCATTAAGGCCAATTCGGGGAGCTGAGCCAGGGAAGCATGACCCTCCACCTCCACCCCAAGGAATCAAACCTGAGCAGAGTGGCAGTGCACAGGCAGCCTCACCAGCTGCTCCCGTCTGCCGGCTATCTAGCACACAACTTCTGCCAACTCAACTCTTTAGCCCACTTCACTCCCTCCCTCTTGTTCCTGGTAACCACCAAAAAACTTAAATTCTATAGAAAAAAACCCCAAACAAACAAATTTATAAATAAAGCTATTTGGTTAAATCCTATCACAGGAACAATGCTTTGCATAATTTAGTTCCTGTTCACAAAGGAGCCCAATTTAGGGAGTGAAAACCACAAACACAAAACCACCACGTTAAGTTCTAGAAAAGACTCATCCAACATAAAAGAACACCCAGCCGACTATTGGTGTGGTATAAATGCCTACACAACACAGGGACGACTGTGGTGTGACGGCATGGAGACCACCAGCCCTGGCTTTCGTGTGTTTAACCCGGCCCTTACTTCCTTCACTTGAAAAGGGGCTGCTTTAAACTTGAAAGGCATCACAGCCTAAAATGAGCATATGCCCAACGCCCCCTTTCTCCTTTGTTTAGCCAATCGACGTTCAGGAGGAGAAGGACCGGGTTTTGCTTTAGTCCCATGTTATCCTCCTCAGCCAATGCTGTTCTGCGATGCCCCGCTTCTCCTTGAGTGGTAATAAAACAGGTTTGTGTCCACATGCGGCCTGAAGGCTAACGAGCTTTCCAATCTGCTTCCTCAGTGGTCTGCTCCATCACAAAGCCAAAGAGATGGGTTACCTCGGTCATCACGCCGATAATCTTCTCGAGAGTAATCATCGCGGGAGCCCCACGACCGATCATCCCGTCTGTCATAGCGGTCTTCGTAGCGGTCCCCACCTCCTCTGTAGTCGTCATCCCTTCGGTATCCACTACCAAATGCTCTTCTGCCGCTGCCTATCCTGGAGTCGTAGCCTGTAAATACAGCCCCCAGTTGCACCCTCCTAACTGGAGAGAGGAAAAGCCAAAGGGGGTCTTGAGAGAAAGGCATTGAACTAGCTGTGTTTTAGAATCACCTCTATCATAGTCTCTGCTACCTCGGTCATCGTAGCGATCCCGGCCCCCATACCGCTCCATATCCCGGCGCGGGCCGTCACGGTACCCGTCACGGTACCCATCACGAAACCGGTCGGAATCGTAACGGTCCCGGTACTCTAGAGGGGAAAACAAGGACAGGTAAGAAAGCCCATCGTCTACTAGATCAACTCGATTTCTATCACCACTCTGCTCCAGCTTTTATTAGAAGCATTCGGAACATTCAGCACACGAAAATATACAAACCACCAATCTGAAACCCCATGCACTGTTGCTGAGGGTGCCAACCAGCCAGTTTCGCCTCATAGAACCCCAGCCACAAAGCAGAACCGCCCCCTCTGTAGGGTTTTCTAGAACACAGTCGTTCTGTGGGGCGGCTGTGTGAGTTTCCAATGGCCAGCCTCAGGTAGCCACTGTGTGGTGACTCAGTGAGCCGTGAGGGCTTCCCAGAAATATATGTATGCCCATTGGACCACCAGCCCACTTTCTAGGAATCTACCCCCAGGAAATAACGAGGTGCCAAACAAAGAGTACTCATGTAAGAATGCTCACGGGAATGCTATTCCTACAAGAAGCTACAGATAACATCTGTCTCCAACATGGGCCAACTACACTAAAACAACAATAATAAACACCTTAAATTATTTACTGGCTCAGGGAGGAGACGAGCCAGTCAGGGTGCGATGTAACAACGATGAGAAACACAACTTTCCTCTAGTTCCTAAATGTTTCCTCCCTGCTCCCACTACCATGACTCGAATTCGACCTTACAAATCTGGCTAGACCAGAGGATGTACACTGGTACAGATAGGAACTG